GAAGTTTGCTTTCAGTTAGATCAAACTTTCACTCATATAACAAGTCGTTTTATAAGAGTGGAGGTTGGTAGTGAATGCCATTCACAGATTCTAATAGTGAAACGTTGTATCCGACAGGATAGCAACAACTTTCTGAATACATGGCTATATTACGAGCATCAGTGCACCAGATTTTTAAGCGAATTGCATTGCTGCTGATAAATCAGCTATGTAGGTAAAATTTTGGATTACGGAATTTATCCAGAATATTACTAATTACTAACGAGGTGAGCCTATTTTATTCTCTAGTGGAATTTTTGGTTTTCAGTGTCTCTGTTAAGTTTATTCGATGATGATTGTCTTAGTTTCATGAAATATTTTTTTGAGTCTAAATTTTTTGACACGTTTAAACCGATCTTTTCCATAATTATGAAGTATGCATCCGTTCATCGAACCCTGCTTTGGAATTTCCTTATCTTAGGCACGAACAACCGATGTTCCTGCAAGCAGGCGATGGATTTGGCTGACAGTTTCGAACCGTGGTTTGCCATTGAACAGGAATACACTCTCCTTGACATGGATCGGTACCCGCTGAAGTGGCCAAAATGCGGCTTTCCAGGCCCTCAAGGTAAACAGTGTATTTCATTGCTGCTGGTAAATTAGGCATTTCTGTTTCAGGGCCATACTATTGTGCTGTTGGAGCAGACCGCATTTTTGGCCGAGATGTGCTGGAGGCGCATTATCGCGCAATGCTTTACGCGGGTATCAGTGTTTCAGGAACGAACGCGGAGGTGATGCCGGCTCAGGTACTAAATACTAACGGTGTGCACCGGTTGGTTAATTTCAGTTTGTAGTGGGAATTCCAAATAGGCCCTTGCCGTGGGATCAACGCTGCCGACGAATTATGGATGGCTCGTTTCATGCTGCATCGTGTAGCTGAGGACTTCAACGTCATCGTTTCGTTGGATCCAAAGCCAATGCCTGGCTCTGAGTGGAATGGTGCCGGTGCACACTGCAATTTCTCAACAAAGGAAATGAGAGGACCAAACGGCTTAACGTAACAATGAGCCATTGTATCGCTTAAATTAATAATCAGAAAAACGCAAAACGCTGTGCTTCCTTTGGCCTTGTTTTTCAGAGTGGTGATAGAATCCCTATTCAGATTCTTTTCACATTCGTAGACTTGTTGGACATGCGTGTTTGTGCATTGAGACCATAACCTTAAGCCGAGCAGTATGTCTCCGTTTTGTGATGCTGGTTTTATTTGCAGCGTTTCTCGCTTTTGCTATAGCCTGTTGGTTATTGCATCGTAGGAAAAATATTCTTTCCAAAATCATATCCTACGTGTTGCGTGCTGGCCTTGATTGACTTCTGTCATGTTTCAGCAACCACACGAGAGCGCGTAGGCTAGCGTAAATGCTTTATGCCAAACGAATCTGTCTAACAAGGGCAAATCTCCTTTTCGTTGCACATATGAAAGAAGAAAAAAGTGCAATGTCGCTAAACGTTCCAGTTAATATGAATAAGCTGAAAACGTTGAATCTATATATAGCAGCTACGAAAACCAAAAGCAGTTAGGCAACATTTTTTACAGTTGGAATCAAACTCACATAATGATAATGAAGTCTAAAATGAGAGTTTCGAGGTATTATCCTTCACTGTATCTAAGGTTGGACAGCTCCCGCGTGAAATAAAAGTCGATTTCTGTTCTTTTCAAACCAAGCGTCCATCTCTGAGTTTCTTTTTTCACAGAGCCAAAAGCCGGTGTCTGCTCACTGTCAACTAATTGAGACCATCCCATTTCGAGCAAACTTCGCAAATAACGTTGTTCGAACGTCGGTGGTCTTCGGTACGTTGCAAAGGATGAGATGTTCAGGATATATTCCCATACTACATATGGGCACTGTGAGTGAAGATTGCGACGTTTTATTCTGTAAATTATAATCATTGAATATATCATACAAATTCACAAAATTTGCCAATGTCGGTCTAATCCGCCGGTTCATTTTAGGATCAGCACAGTTAGCAGTGACAAAACTATTTCATGCTGACAACTGCCGATCTCTGATGCGGACAAAGATGCTGTTCGAACTAATCGTTTGTTCCATCATCTGACATGAATACAGTATTGTTTATCATGGTGAAATTCACAGTAGCAGATCGCAAATGCTTTCTGATTTTCAGAGGCGAAAAGAGCTAGAACATTTGGGAGGGGCACACCACGGCAGCGGGTAGCGCTTTAGCATCTGTAACGATGGTGTTTCTAATGAGAAGTCCAGATTCTCTGATTACAGATTGACGACTTATTAACAGAAAGATGTAACGTCTAAGCAGTGTCTGAAACATATTTTCAGGAAATATAATATTGACATTTTCCCTGTTGTTCGGATCATCAAGATTAGGAAAATCCAATATATTAATGTTCAAAGTTCCGTATTCATAGCTTCCGCGTTTTTAAGAGGCTTACCCTTATAACAATTTATCAAAAAATTGAAAGTACCCCCATGTTGATCAAAAATTAAAATTGTAAGCTAGCTGAAGCGTAATTCTAGTATATCATTGTCAAATTTATCAGATATTTGAACAATTTACTTGTCCAGGTGGGAATTAGGCTGTGTTGAATTTTATGATTTAAATTTCGCTACGTCTATTTGTTGAATATTTAGTGCCATCGAGGACGCAATTGAGAAACTGGCAAAAAACCACGAAAAACATATCAAGCTGTATGATCCTAAAGCAGGGAAGGATAACGAGCGCCGATTGACAGGTCGCTGCGAAACTTCCAGTCTCCATGACTTCACTGCAGGAATTGCCCATCGTGGTGCATCTATTCGCATTCCTCGTCACGTTGCAGAGGCTAAAAGCGTAAGTCTGGAAGTGTTAAATAAAGCTACATATTACCAAAACAGTCACTTTTAGGGATACTTGGAAGACAGACGACCCTCTTCTAATTGTGATCCGTACTGTGTTACCGAGGCCATAATTCGCACTGTGTGTCTAAACGAATAGCTGGTCTGACCCAGAGCTGCATACGTTTTATATATCTGTATAATGGTACTTTGTTTTAATTTTTATCGAAGTGGGCGAAATTTTATCCTTTCTGTATGAAAACGGTTTTAATGCTTCAGTTTTAACCTTCTTGCGATTAAAATTTACAGTGTGAAAAACTTACGATTGAGACTCTACCTGAATTACGTGTAGAGCAAGTACCTGTCACACGACATTAAGGATACGTAAGATTCAGTTTAGAACAGAGTACTCATAATGCAACTTTCACATGTGCAGTGTAGCAGTAAAGGTTCCTGGTGAACTTCACAATTGTTCAGTCCGTAGCGTTTATCATCACAGAGGCACGTTTGCAGAAATTTTTCCGCTAGTGTAATACAAGAGGAACTATACATATAGAAACAAAAGCACTTCAGTGAAACATCTGTAACTGCATCATCTCCAGAGAAGCATTCTGTTATTAAGCAGTGCATAACTTGCTACCAATGTTTCCGATATCTTGGCTTAGATGATTGCGAAAAAAAATTCGTTTCTCTAAATCTTGCTAGTGTGATGCCTCGATCATTTCAGTGTCGCGGCGCAGCATCAGAGCACTACCTCTAGCAAAATAGAAAGAACGATAACCAAATGGCATACAGCAAGAGTATTGGCTTTGATATATAACAAGGATTAAACCACTGAATCATAGTAAGTGGAACTCTCATCCTCCAGGTAAAGGTGCCATTATCTGATTTTATATTCATCGAAATGAGATCATTTCTACTCAAAAACTGACTACACATAAAATTTTGGCTCCGAACCTAGAGTTTCTCCCGTGCAGACCGATACTAAACAGAAATTTACTACAACGACGGCATAACAATTTTTTTATCAGGTCATTCCCCTTGAGCCGTTTGAATAAACGTAACGCCTTTGGCTTGTGACGTTCGGCATTGCATGTCATGAGGCACAGGTAGCTACATTGTAAAAAACATTCTACTCTAAAGGAAGATTGCCTCTATCGTGTTGCTCTGCTTTGCACGGAGGACTTCTTGAACACGTCTGCTATGTTTCGGCTACCACATGGAAAGGTTATGGGTAGAGTCAATGATTTATGCTCATCAAATATGTTTGACAGCGAAAGCCTCAATTTTTTAACCTCAACGTCAGCTGAGGTTACCTGTAATCTGAATAAAATCGATTCGTAAATTCCGCAGTTATGACATTTAAGCTACGTTTCGCGTCCACCCAACGTGCTAGTTTAACCACTGTTCTTGCGCGGTGTTGCAAAAAGTCATGAAATTGATCTAGGATAAAACTTAACGTCATATTTGTAATCGTAATCAGTTCGACTGAATTTTGTTCATGACTTCCATTCTATGTATGTATGTGCTGTCTGCAGTCAATAGATTATATATATGATCTATAATATTTCTATAGTCAATTGATTACCGTTATAATAGAAAAATATTTGATTGAACCTTACTATTGATTGAACCTGATTGGACAGCTACAGTATCTTTTAAACGCTAGTTGCCATCGCTGTACGCACTACAAGCAGGAGGTTGTACAGTACAGACGTCGGTGCTACAGCCTTTTATGTAAATCACTGTAAATGGATACCAATGATTTGTACGAGAAGTTACTGGCCATAAATGTCATACATTTTGGAAATTATGTTTTAAAGGGCGGTCTGGCAACACCGGTTTACATCGATCTGCGCAAAGTGATTTCTTATCCTAGAACTTTGGTGTGTACCGTTAGTTGAGGGAGAAGATCTGTGATGGGCGTTTTTAGGCGGCAGTCGCCGAGGAAATATGGAAACGTATCCAGGGGACTGGTCTGAAATTCGACTGCATCTGCGGTGTTCCGTACGCGGCTTTGCCGATCGCCACTGTAAGTGTCGTGAAAGTTTTTTCGGTGTATCCTTTGTCGCGTGACTGTTGCTCCGAGGGTCATTTCAAACGGTAAGCAAGCTGCGCGATTGCCGGCTGACATTTCCATCGCACAGCTTTCATTGAAAGCATCAGGTTTATTAACCTGTAATGCCACATATTATTCTACTGCGTTTACAACTTGTAAACTTTTGCGCCGTTGCTCCCGATGAACTGCACATCAGACATTT